CCCCCACATTCCAACCCCTTTTTTTCCCCCCTAGCTGTTCCCCACATCCCACTCTCCCTTTCTCCAGCTGGCCCCTTTATCCCGTCCTCCCTATTCCCAGCTGTATCCCTATCCCGACTGACCGGTGGGGGCCGGAGGGTCCCGGCAGGAGGAGCAGCACTGCCCGGGGCGCAGGTGCCGCTGGTGCTGGGGACAGTCCAGGATGGGACAGGGAACGAAGGAACATTCCACCTCCCCGCCCTTGGAACACGGGAATGTATCACTGGATGTCCCCACATCCAGCCCCAGCCTGAAGAGAGCTGGGATACCCCCCACAGCAGCTGCATCTCTGGGGACCCTCAGCCTTGAGGCCCCTCATCCCATGGGATCCCCACCCCTGGGATGTGCCCACCTGGCAGACACAGGTGGTGCATCTGTCCCCATCCAGGCTGAACCTGGCTCCGTGCGCGTACGTGTGGCCCTGGAAACTGCACTTTGCTGGGAAAAGCGGAGTCAGGAGGGCGTGGATCCTCCAGAACCCTCATCCCAGCCCAGGGGTCCCCACAGCCCCGGACTGGGGCTCTCACCTGGATGGCAGGAGCAGCAGTTGGATGGAGAGGGGCTGGGGCAGGAGCCTGGGGGACATTCCGGGGAAAGGCAGGAGACATTCCCAGCCTGTGGATGAAGGTGGGATGAGGGTCCTCGAGGCTGGGAGGTCCCCAGGGCTCTGGGGGGATTCTCCCACCCTGGTCCAGCTCACCAAGCAGACGCAGACTGTGCAATTCCCATCGGACGGGGAGAAGACATCGCCCTCTGCTCTGGCCACCCCCTCGTGGAGGCACCCTGTGATCCAGGGGGTATCAGGGAGGGATATTCCGGGAATTGCGAGGCCAGGGGGGCTGGGACTCACCTGTGCAGATGGGGCAGCACCCCCCGGCCGGAGCGGGAAGCGGGTGGGAGCAGGGAGTGGAGCAGCTCATGGCATCACACAGGACTTGCCCCTCCTGCCGGCACACATGTGGCTCATCCCAGGTTGGAATGGTGCCGAGGGAAGGAGTGGGATGGTGGTATTCTCACCTGGCAGGTGCAGCTCCAGCATCCTGGCTCCGTCCAGCGAGCACCAGGCTCCCGAGAAAGGCCGCGGTGCCAACAGCGAGGGGATGGTGGGATGGAGGGACGGGGAGACAGGGATGGAGCAGAGGGTGGGAATTGGGTTCCAGGAGCTGCCACTGGGATGTGGGGAGAGGGGGAGCCCCTCGGGAGCAGGTGGGAGCCGGGAGGGAGCAGGACAAGGGTGGGTGGGTGCTGCAGGGATTGCAGGATGGGTGATGGGGCCAGGATGGATTTGGGATACCCTGGGAAGGAATTCAGGAAGGAAGAGATGTCACTTGGGGTAGGCAAGGAGCAGGAGCATCCTGCTCCGCTCTCCCAGCCTGGAGAAGGACATGGATACCTTCGCAGGACACCCTGTCCGTGCTGAGCCGGTATCCGGGACGGCAGGAGCAGCGGAAGCTCCCAGGAATGTTGTGGCAACTGTGCTGGCAGGAGCGGCGTGTTCCCGGCCGCCGGCATTCGTCCACATCTGCGAAAAGGGAACGTGGCAGGAGGTGCTGAGTCCCAGGATGTGGCCCAGGAAGGAGCCCAGAGCACTGGGATGTGCTCCCAGCATGGCCCAGACAGGGACAGGGATAAGGTGGGCACCACTAGGATCGTGGGCTCATGGACAACTGCATCCCTTGGGATTCAGGGCATGGAGAGGGATGAGGGTCTGGCTCAGTGCTCAGTGGCTCATGGCCACCTGCCTTCCCTGGAAATTCAAGTCCTGGAGCAGGAAGGGCCCCATCCCAGCACTCACCCAGGCAGGAATGCCGGTTCCCGTGGAGCTGGTATCCAGGCCGGCAGGAGCAGCGGTAGCTCCCGACGCTATTCTCGCAGTGGTGCTGGCACGGTGTGGCCTGGCACTCATCCATGTCTGGGAGGGGGCAGGATGAGGGTCAAGATCCCTCAGGATTCCCAGCCTCCCCTCTGGCCCCCCTCGCACCGCGGCAGCTGCGCCGATCTGTGGAAAGCTCCCGGCCGGAGCCGCACTGGCACACGAATCCGCCCTCCGTGTTCACGCACAGCCCCTCGCAGGCCCCGCTCTGGCACTCGTCGATGTCTGGGGGGACACAGGGAACGGTTGGATTTGGGATGTGGACCTCCAGCTGTCTGCTCCCATCGGGACATTCCCGTTCCTGCTCACCAGTGCAGCGGACACCGGTGAGAGTCTCTGCCATGGAGAAGCCGACGGGACACACGCGGGCAACCTCCTGGCACCCGCCGTGGTTACAGGACAGGTCACAGCCGTACTCCCCGCATATTCCTGGCAGATCTGGGGTATGGATATAGAGTCAGTCAGGCACCAGGGACACCCCAGGAGCACCCAGCTCCCACCCTGATCTGTGGGTGCCTCAGGGATGATCCTGCCAAGGATGGGGATGGTGCTTGGAATCCTGCAAGGGGAGGGGACGAGGAGCAATGGGCCCTGCCAGGACAGGGCCACCTCCATCCCTTGAGATCTGTGGCATGGGGAGGGAAGGGGGTCCAGCCTGGTGTCCACGGAGCCACAGCCTCCCCCATCCCTTGGGATGTACCTGGGCAGGTGATTCCCTGCTCCCCATCTGGGCACAAGCAGATGTTGGGAGCGATGCAGGAGCCGCCGCCACAGCCGAAGGAGCAGAGCGCTGCGGGAACGGGAACAGGAGCTGTGGGAATGGGAGCAGGGACCCCCACCACCCCCCCAGAGTCCCGGACTCACGCAGGGTGCACTTCCCGCTGCCCGGGGACAGCATCCAGCCGGGACAACATCCGCTGCCGGAGCCCGGGAAGCAAATGTGGGGCCCCCCACGGCGCCTGCGGGACACCAGAGCCTGAGGCCACCCTGTCCCTGTCCCTCCCCGATGAAGCAAAGGGCCTGGGAATGCCAGGACATGCCCATGGGAAGCATAGTATGGCTTGGATTAGGAGGAGGCAGGAATGACAGGGGGCCGGGGGCAGAGGGATCCCAAAATAAGTTGGGATAGGGAGGGAGGGTTGTGTCCTAGTCGTTGCAAAAATCTCAGTCCAAGGAGCAGGACAGGGCTGCAGTAAGAAGGACAGGGATGAGAAGAACAGGAATGTGGGGAGCAGGACAGGAATGAGAAGGACAGGGATGTGGGGAGCAGGACAGGGCTGCAGGGAGAAGGACAGGGATGATGGAAGCAAGACAGGGATGCAGGGAGCAGGGTCATGCTCCTCTGGACCTGGGAAGAGGGAGGGAATTGCGGGGTCCCAACTTGTCCAGCTGGGATGGAGGCAGCAGAACGCAGGGATAGCCGGAGCTGCCCATCCCAGGTGTAGCTGGAAAATGGATCAGGAAAAGGTGGGGGATACCCAGCTCTACCTTTCCACTGCAAAGCTTCCCAGCTTCTTCCTCCCGGGATACCCCCTGGCCTGGCCGCTGGAGAGGAGCAGGGACACACAGGCAGCCTGGAAGAGCAGCTGCACCAACATGACAGGCGGCTCCAGAACTTCCCGGCTCCCGCCTTCCCGCCTGCCTTCCCGCTGGCCCTCGGCCCTGCTCCTCCTCCTCCAGCCGAGCCGGGAACAATGCGGGATCGGAGCGGGATTGGAGCGGGGATTGGAGTGGGGCGGGAGCGGCGCCAGCGGCTCCCACCCACCCCCCAAACCCACGGCGGGTCTGAGATCATCCCGAGTTTGTCCCGTTCGCCTGGGATGAGTGGAGTCAGCCCAGACATTCCCGCCGTGGCTCCGGGACTGCGACGGGGGTCCCCAAGGCGTTGGGAAGCAGCAGGGAATGTATCCCCCTTTTCCCTCCTTTCCCACATCTGGCAAAGCTCCGGCCTGGCCTCTTCCCACCCCTCCTCCTTCTCCTGGAGGCCTTCCCAGCCCTGCAAGCGGCAGATAAAGGGGCCAAAGCAGAGCTGGGATAGTGGGATGCATCCCAAAGGGAGAGGGGGCTATGGGACTCCCCATTCTAGGCTGTCCCAACTCCCCTCGGCCCCTCAACCCCTCCTGGAGCTGGGAATGAAGCGAAGGTCACAGGCAGGTAATTGATTGATCCCAGGGACCAAAGGCCACTGCAGCCTGCAAAATTCCCAATCCAGCATGGATTTTCCCTTACAATCCTGCCAAAAGGTTGGGATCACCCCTACAAGACACAGCAATTCCCAACTGTTGCTGCTGGGAGGGGTCCCTGCTGGAATAAGGGATGCAGGAGCCACGGTGCTGCCATGGCAAGGTCTTTTCCTAGAGGAATGTGATACCAAATCCCAGCTCCTGGCCTTGGAAGTGGCTCTGTGGTCCTGGATAGGGATAAATCCTGATCCAGCCCTGGCACATCCCAAAAAAGGAGGGTGCCAGCATTCCATTGGCACCCGTTTTGTTGGAAAGGGATAGCACTTTAAAGATCTGCTCCCTGGGCCTCCCCAATTTTGGGAATGAGCTGCTCCAGGCAGGTAAACAAAGCCTGAGGAAATAAAACCAGGAGCAGAGTCCAGGGTCAGCTCCTGCTCCCTCTGGCTCCTGGAAGAGATGTCCAAATATAGCCTTCTCCCTGCAGCCTCCTCGGAAATTCCAGGTTAGAAGCGGGAGACAGGGATGCTTTCAGCATGAGCTGGAGCTCAGGGAGGGAAGGATTTTGGGAAAACCTGCCCAGAATGGGATTTGGGGGGGTTAACTTGGAGCTATGGGGAGATCCAGGCTGGGGAGAGCACGGCAAGTTCCAGGATTAACCCCAAATTCCATGAGGAAGAAGGTGGGTGACCAGGAGGAGGATTATTAATGAGCAAGCAGAGGCTGGAAAATCCAGGTTTCCCTAAAAATTGAGCCAAAAATCTGCCTCTCAGGGAATTCCCAGTGCCGCTGGCAACCAGGCAAGGAGCTAAAATTCCCTAAAGATCCCAGAAAAATGCACCTGGAAAACAGGGGTTCCCGAGGTCCCCCAGGTGAGGCCACGGCTATGATTCCTCAGGACACAGATCTTTCCTCTTGGACTACTTTATTTGGTACAACTCCGCAATCGACATGAGCTTGAGCTTCCCAGAATTCCCGCCCTGAGCGAGGAATGGATCCTGTGGAGAGTTATCCTGCTCGGCTGCTCCTCCAGCTTTGATTCCTCTTCCAATAAAACACACGGAATCAAAAAAAAAAAAAAAAAAAAGGGATCAAAAGCCAAAAAAATGAGTCAAATCTACTAAAGACACCAGGGAAGAGGGAATCGCATCCCGGTGGATCACCCAAGGGAAGGGACAGTTCTGGGCACAGCCGAGTCCACAGGATCCATGAATCCTAGCGGGAAGTGACCAACACCCCCCTCAAATTCCTAACAAGCTGCTCCTCCTTGGGAGATTCTGGCTCCTCTAGTGTTGGGCATGGCTGGGGAAGGATTCCCTGGCACCAGGGGTAGGGAATGATCCCAAATCCTGCTAATGGATCCGGGTGAGCTCCTCCACGATCTTGATCAGGTCGTCCACAGTGGCTTCCCGCTTCATCCCGCTGCCGTCGTCGATCTGCACGGGAAAGGAAAGGTATCAGGGACATTCCCAGGTGATCCAGGAAGGTGTGGATTTAGGGTTTTTTACGGAGGCTGTGGCCTCCCTGTCTCTGGAAGTGCTCCAGGCCAGGTTGGAGCAACCTGGGATAGGTGTTGGAGCTGGATGGGCTCGGAGGTCCCTTTTAATCCAAACCAGTCCATGGATCCACAATTCCCTGAATTACTGAGCCTGGATTCTTGAACCCAAGGCCACTTTCCCGAACTCACCTGCAGGTTTGCCACCACTTCCTGCATCTTGGGCCTGCTGATATCCAGGAAACTCTCGATCAGGTCCCCATCGATAAATCCCGTGGCCGGCTCCGTCTTCCGCTCTGTGTGGAAGGACCTCCAGGTGCCAGATCCGTCAAGGAGCCAAATCCACAGAGAGGAACTCCTTGTGGTGCCCTCCGCAGCGCCGGGTTAATGGCTGGACTCCGTCACCTTGGAGGGCTTTTCCAACCTTAATTCCATGGCTGCCCAACCTGATCCCACCGAGCAACATCCCCACCCCCAACTCGGGAACAGGTTCCAGGCTGGAATCCCAAAGGATATAAGGAATGCTCGATCTTCCCGACACTTTTGATGACCTTGTTGAGCCTGTTCTGCATGTCCAGGAGCAGATTGTACCAGCTCTCTGATAGAGATGTCACCAGCCCTGCAACGGGAATACACAGAATGCTTGGAACTGGACGGGTTTTAAAGGTCCCTTCCTGCCCAAAGCATTCCAGGATTCCCGGGGATGCTCCTCACCGATCATCCCGTTCACGGTGCCAAAGAGGACGGAGCCCTGGGTGGGCGTGGAAGTCTCTCCCAGGTTTTGCATGACCAGGGATCCATGGCAGAAGACGTTAACAAATTCCCCAAGGTGGGATAATCCCACTTCCTGCAGGTGCTGCCGCTCCTCGTCCGTCGTGGCCGCACTGGAATTCCAAACGCTCAGGATGGGGGGACTCTGGAGCTTTACTGCTCCCAAGGGCTGGGAATGCTCCCCCAGCTTTCCTCAAGCTTCCAAAACTTCTCCTGTTCCCACCCCATGGATGCTCCTCCAGCTTTTCTGAGGGTTCCAAAGCTTCCCCTGCTCCAGGAAGAGCTGGGAATGTTCCCTCAGCTTTCCTGAAGGTTCCATGCCATGCCATGCCATGCCATGCCAACCTACCTGTCCTTCTGGCACACAAACAGGTTGAAAGCGTTCTCTGCTCCCAGAAAATTGTCATCATCCAGGATCTCCACAGCACTCATCCAGTTGGGATTGAAATCCCGGGCAATCTGGAAGGAAACAGGAGACAACGGTGTGTCCAGATGGGCTGGGATGCAGCATCCTCATCCCACCAATATTTGGGAGCGAGGCAGGATCCAGCCTGTCTCTCTCTGCTCCAGAAAGCAGGAAAGGCACCAAGTGCCTCCTGGAGATGATCCTGACCCGAGTGGCCCTGGGAAAACATGGAGAAGGCTGTACCAAAGCCACTCCCAGGGATTTAAACACCTAGACTGCAGCTAAACTATTCCAAGTGGACCCCAGGAATCCCAGGTGGCACTTCCCCTGCTCCCAAGGGTTGGGGATATTCTTCCAGCTTTCCTGAAGCTTCCAAAGCTTCTCCTATTCCCACCCTGGGAATGCTCCTCCAGCTTTCCTGAAGCTTCCACTGCTCCCAGTGTGCTGCTCCTCAGAGCTGGGAGTGCTCCTCCAGCTTTTCCTGCGAGTTCCAGACCTTCCCCTGTTCCCAAGGGCTGGGGATGCTCTCCCAGCTTTCCGGAAGCTTCCAAAGCTTCCCCTGCTCCCAAGAGCTGGGAACGCTCCTCTAGCTTTCCTGAAGGTTCCATCCCATCCCACTCCCACTCCTGCTCCTCCCTGGAAGATCCATTCCAGAGGGATCCCCGCAAATCCTCCAGCTGACTCCGCTCCAGTCAGACTCCTCCTTTCCTCCATCCCTCTCAACTTCCTGGTGCCGCTCCCGCACCTCCTCAAAGTTGCCTTCCATGGGTTTGTAGGCCAGGAGCAGCACAGAGCGCATGAGGTCTCCCACCAGGATGAAGTCCCCCTTGGTCTTCAGGTAGAGGGCCATGATGTTGTTGTAGTGGTTGCACTCCGTGCGCAGCTCCTTCTCTGCCGTCCACTCGTACAGCCGCACCTGCGAGATGGGATCCCCACATGGATTGGGATGCTCCGGGAGTCGGGACACGCTCCCGGGAGAGCCAGCTCCACTCCAGAGCCACCCGCACACTCCTGGCCCTTACCGTGCTGTTGATGCTGGCCAGGAGCTTCCCGTTGAATTCTACCATGGAATACACGGCTCCCTTGACCTCCTTCTCAGCCAGGCTCTGTAACTTCCCTGGAATACAACCGGGAATCACTGGGGGCTTTATCCAAAGGGTTGGAAGTGAAGGGGACGGCCCTGAACTTTCCTTCTTGAAAAACTCCCTCAGAGGGAAAAGTGACACGGGAACAGCACAATACACAAAGGAAATCCCAAAATCCAAGACAGGGGAGGGATTCCTGGGACTCTCCAGGAGATGTGGAAGCAAATGCCAGGATCCAGGGCTGGGGAGGGATTCCTGGGCTTCTCAGGGAAATGGAGGGAAAGGGAACACACTGGGACAAATCCCATCTGCAGGCACTTCCCTTGGGAAAAGCTTAGCCTGCTCCAGGGTGTGAGGAGCTCATCTGAGCAAAAAGTGGGATGTTTCCAGGTGGGAAGCCCTTGCTCTTACCATCGGAGTAGTGGAAGACAACGATCCGGCCCTGCTTGGGCTCGGCTTCCTCGGGATAGACCATGGCAGTGCCCACAATGAAGTAGGTGTTGGGATCTTTTCCCAGCTTACAGGAAACCAGGCTCAGGGCATACTCATTCTGCAGGAATTGGTGAGCATGGAGCACTGGGTGGAAAGTGGGAAAAGAAGAAACTTTGGGATCCTGGACATTCCCTCTCCTGTTCCCCACCATCAACCAGCGCCACTCCCTAAACCTTGTGGTTGCTTTTCCTCCAGGAACACACAAAATCCTGGATTTGCACCCATTTTGAGGATCCCCAGCCTCAACCGTGGGGTTTTCCAGGTGGGAAAAGCTGCATTTCGGGATGGGACAGGTACCTTCAAAGGTGTGCTGGTCTATGATGAGCAGGTTGTGAACTTCCACCTCCTCTCCAAAGGATGTTTCGTGCGGAGCGGTGCTGCTGGAAAACAGCTTGGAGGTGCTCACGCTGCTGGATAAGGCCTGGAAAACGGGAAAGTCCGTCAGATTCCGGTGCTGCTTGGTGTGTCCACACAGCCTGAGGCAACCAGGGAGCAGAACAGATGGAAGAGAAGGTGGAGTAGGGAATGAGTAAAGTGACACACTCCCTGCTCCTGCAGGGAGGCTGAGTGAGGGAACTGTGGCTTCCAGAAGTGGATCCCTGGGAAAAGGAAAGGCCTGGAGAGCACAAAGGAGCCCATACGGGATATGGAAGGAGCAACACCCAAAAGTAAAGGGATCACGGGGAAAGAGGCATGGGAAGCAGGAACTGGTCACCCCTATGGAAAGACCCCACCAGCCCATTCTTGGAAGGAGAAATTCCTTCACAGCTTTGGAAGGAAAGGCTGTCAAGGAAAACCTGGATTTGACCTGGGGAATTACATCCCCACAGAGCAGGGATGGTCCAGAATGGGGTCTCACCTGGGTGCTGGCACTGGGCCTGAGGGCCGTGGTGCCTCCACTGGCATCCTGCACCTCGATCCGACTGGAAAGCACCCCAAAACACTGGGATACCTCTTGGTAGCAGATCTTCCTGCAGGATAGACAGGAGAGCTGGGATAGGCCATTCCAGGGAAGCCCTGGAGGCAACACGAGCCGTTCGCTCCCTGTCTGATGAGCCCATCCTGGGCTGGTGACACCACCACCCTCCCCTATCCCAGTAATCCTCATCCCAGGAATCCTTTCCAGCTCACCTGGGCGACTCGTAGAGGGGAACAGTGCGAATGTGGAGTTTCTGGATCTCGTCGATGGTCCCGATGGTCAGGGTGCTGTTGTTGGCCAGCGCCAAACTGCCCCAGGGGGAGAGGGGGAAAAATCATGGAAAAGGGGCGTGGAACAGCAAGAACCCCCTGTGCTCCACATCCCGGTGCATCCTGGAGCTCACCTGTCGGGATATCCGTCGGAATTGAGGGGGCACATGTAGTTGACCTCCTTGAGGTTGACGTTGGAGAAGACCAGCTTGTGGTTGCTGCTGTAGATGACGGTGGGACGGTCGGAGCAGGCGAAGACGTTGGTAGTGGACAAGGACCGGAATGTCCTCAGGACTGTGGGCTGCGTGCCCAGGGTCACCTTCTTCCGGTCGCTCAGTGAGCCTGGATTCAGGGAAAACAGCCATTGGGATCTCCCAGGAGGGGAAAACAACCCCTGGGATCCCCCGCGACACCTCGGGACGGAAGGAGTGCAAAAAAGGCACCCCAGACGCAAAGATCTGGCTCCTTCCTCTGGAGAAATCCACCAATTCCCACCACCCACGGCTGGGAACGCATGAAAGCATTCCAGAGGCATGGAGAAAACATGGAAATGGAAGGACAAAGGTCACCTGTCTCCAGGCTGAGCCCGAAGTAGAAGAGGGCTCCGTCCCCCAGGGCACACAGGAGGTAGTGGCTACTCTCAAACGTCGTCATGAGGATGGAGCGTGGGATAATCTCTGTGAGAAGCGGGAAAAAAGATGGATAAGGCCACTCAGGGCTTGGCCAGTGGCTGCCCCATTCCCCTCGGGAAGCTCCCACCTCCTCCCAGCATCTCCTTGTGCAGCAGTTCAAAGGACGGGAGCTTCAGGATGCGGGCAGAGATGTCAGTCCAGAGCCCAATGGCACAGAGGGGGGACATCCCGTTGGAGTCTCCCAAGGGAGTGATGTCCAGGCAGGCCACCTCGTGCTCCATCTCCGTGCAGCTGGGAGGGAGGAAGGAGCACAGGTGCCTGTCACAATCCTGAATCCCCACACTCCCGCAGCGCTCAGGGTGGGATGTGCCCCCTCCCCTCACCTGATCTGCCGCAGCTCCTGGGGCCAGATTTCCAGGTAGAACAAGGCTCTTCCCACGGCCACCACCACCTGGTTGGTGTTGCAGGAGGCCACGCTGATGTTCTTCCCATTGGGCTCCTTCCACTCACTCACCAGGGATTTGGGCTCCTGGCTCACCAGGCGCACGGAGGCCGAGGTGATCTGGGAAGAGAGCATGGAAAAATCATGGAAGAGGCAAGCAAGAACCTCCCTGTGCTCTGTATCCCATAGAAACAGGAACCCAGGATCCCATTTGCTGATCCCAGCATCCTGACAACACCCCAGATTTGCCCCATGATCCATAGGGATCACCAGGAGAGCCATATCCGCGTGTGCCCCAAGCTGGAATTACCTGGATCAGCTGCTGATGCGCCACATTCCCACAGAAAAACGTCTGCTGGTCATCCACAAATCCTGTGAGCTCCGTCTCTTCCACCTCCTCCCCATTTAACATCAGAACCCTGTAAAGGGAAGGGAATTCCCATTAATTCCTGCTCTGGCACGTGGTGAAAGCTCTGGATCAAGGATCCTTCTTTACCTGGTCTGGCCAACAAAGGAGAGCACCAAGGTATTGTCCGTCTCCCGGTGCGGATCCGACCTCAGTGGCCACAGGCCTGGGAAAAGAGGCCACAGTTCCTCACATAATTCCTCTCAATTCCACATCCCAACGTCACCCATCCCCATGATGTCTCCTCCCAGGCCGTGGGACACCACGGATCACGCCCCTCACCTTTAATTCCCGGCAGGTCGATGCTGGCGTGCTCGTGAATCCCGATGCCGTTGCGGATGATCCGCAGGGATCCCTCTTTGAAGGCGCCGGAGCAGGTGACCAGCTGGAGGAGAAGCAGGTGGGATTTACCAACTGTGGCCAGGAAGCTTTCCCACTTCTCTGTGGGTTCATGGGAAAACAGGGAACCCGTCTCAGGATCACAGAATCCTGGAATGGTTTGGCTTGGAAGGGACCTCAGATGTTTCATCCCTTTCCGTGGGATTTCCACATTCCTTTTAGATCAGGCTGCTCCAAGTCCTGTCCAACCTGGCCTTGGACACTTCCAGGGATGGGACATCTACAGTTTCTGTGGGCATCTCCTCCAAGGAATTTTTTTGGCAGTTGATCCTCCCCCATGGCATGAAGGCAGACCCTTCCTCATGGATATCCAGGAATTAACCTCCTACCGCTCCAGGAAAACACTTATAACAATCCCAGCACCTGAATGTGACTCTGGGGTCCTCCAATAAACAGCCTTTTCCTTTCCTTTTCCAGGGAAGCTGTGACTGCCCTGGAATTGTCCAAGACCAGGTTGGAAAGGACTTGAAGTAACCTGGGACGGTGGAATGTTGGGCTGGCACCAGATGATCCTTCCAGCCCAAACCATTCTGGGATTCCACGGACAATTCACGGGTACACCTGGCCAGCCTAGAAATTCCCAGGAGCGAAGGAAGAAAAGCAGGATCAGGGATACCTGTCCTTGCCCTTGTCTTTCCAGGTCCACCACACACATGTCCACGATGGGCCCGAGGTTAGTGAAGGTCTCCATGGCCACCACGTAGGATCCCTGCTCGTTGCTGTCCACGTTGAGCTGGGGACAAACACCAGGATAAATCCATGGCTTCCAAGGAGCAAGGAGAAGAGCAGGAAAATTTATCCACATCCCCAGGTTTTGGTGGGAATCCAGGCCAGGAGGAAGCAGCCACGTACCTTCACCAGCTGGGAATCTCCAAGCCTGGATCCAACAAACACCACTCCGTTATCCAGGTAGGTCAGGCACTCCGCTATGGATGTCTGGGAATTGGGAAAAGGCATGGAAAAGCCTCTGGAATACCTTGAGAGCACCACTACTAAGGTGTTTATCCAACAGGAAATCCCTGGGCATGGGAAGGGGATTTAAGCCCTTCATAAATCCCACAGTCTGAGCTTCTCCAGGGAAACAGTGTGGAAGCAACAGGGAAAAAACTGGGAAGATGGTGTGAATTTAAGAAGGAATTTCCCAGCAACCAACAGGTTACAGCTGTGAAAAACAGGAATAGAATCACCATCCCACACAATTCCTGCACAGAGCCATTCTAGACTTGGGAGAATCCCAGGAAATGTGAGGCCTACCTCTCCCAGCAGCTCCACACGCAGGTCTTTCAAGGTGACGGTGCCATCCATCTGCTCCTCCTTTTCCAGGAGCAGCATGAAGAGCCTTCCTTCCATGTCTCCCAGCAAATACCGGGATCCGTTGGGATCCACGCGGTTGTGGCACACGATGGTACTTTGCTGCAGGGAAAGGAGGGAATTCTTGGAATCCACTGGAACAGCCCCAAAGCTGGAGTTCCGGTTGACTCATTCCCTGCTTCAGGATCCCAGACTCACTATCCCAGAGCTCCAGGCTCCCACTTTTTTCATCCAAGATTTAGGCTTCTTTTGTTATTTCCAGCCTAAAAGGACCTTTGGCTGGTAATTCCAGCCTGGAGCAGCACCTCAGCCGTGCCATTGCTCCCACTAAATGTAGGAAGTGGGCTGTTATTCCCACAAACCCCATAAATCCAACCTCCATTTCAAAATCCCTAAGTCTGTTGTTCTCTGCCTCCCAAGTCTCCAAGGGGCTCATCCATATCTTTTGCCTGAAACAAAGCCAGGCTCCCACTTGGAATTTTGTCCAAAACACACGTTAAATCCTAATTAATCCCATTCCAAGGGGTCCAAACATTCCAGGTTTTGCCTCTTCTCCAAGAGTTCCACAGATCATGGATCCAAAGGTGACTGTTTGGGAAGCCAAACCTCTGGAAGTCCAAGCAGTATTAAGCCTTGCCTAGGATGACAGTAGCTGGAATTCCTGCCTGTAAGGACTAGAAAAGGAGGAATTCTGCGGGGTTCAGGACTGAGCAAGGAGGAATTCTGTGGGATTCAGTCCTGGATTTCCACATCCACCCACCTTGATGATGGGAGGAGCAATAGCCAGGTATTTGTCCCCGTTGTGGTAGGTGATGGATTCCTGCCCGATGATGATCGCGCCTCCGAAGGGCTCCGGAACTGCGGGAATGACAACAAATATCCCATGGGTCTTTTCCCATGTGGAAAAACTGAGGCATTCAGGCTTGGGAAAAAAAAGAAACAACAAAACAAGAAAAACGGGGAGGAGGATCTTTCCCCACCTGCAATGACCATGGAGGCTTCGGCCTCCACGTTTTCCTGCTTCCAGGGGCCTTTGTTGAATTCCTTCTCCCGCAGGGACACCTCGTACGTCTTTACGTGCCGGCCCTGAGGGTCCTGGAAAAGAAGACACAAAATCCCAGAAATAAGGAAATTCCACCTCATCTCCAGCAAAACCACTCCCTGCTGCTCTGTTTGGTCCAAATCCTGGGATAATGGTTATTAAATTGAAAAGGAATGAAGGCAGCTGCTTGGAAAAATCCTCCTTTCCACAGGCAGGAACCAAAATAACCCAGAGCTTTCTAAGATCCTGCTCTCGCTCCAAGGATTTTTGAGTGTTAGACACAGAATCTTGGAATCACTAAGGTTGGAAAGCCCTCTGATCACCCAGTTGTTCCCTCAAATCCCAACTGTGTGGTGACAAAGTGGCTTCTCCCCCATTCCTTGACTCAGGAACAATTTGGGAGGATCCAGCAGTGCCCAAACAGGGAATAATGGAATCACTGCTGCCACGGGATAACCTGGAATTTGGCAAAAGAAAGCTAATCCTTCGCTCAGTCAACACAGCAGTGGCTCTTTGGATTAAAACAAGGGTTTGGAGAAGGCCTGGAATGCTCTTCCCTTGAAGGTGATGAGAGAGGTTATGGATCACAGATCACCTTTACACTTGGAGCTGCCTCCTAAAAATCCCAACTGCCTTGTTTTTTATGGAAAAGCTAAAGTCTTGCTCTGGGAAACAACTCATCCTGGATCTAATCCAATTGCTGGAATGATCCACGAGCTCCTCCAGAGGGTTTAACAAGGAAAATATTCCCACCCAAGGCAAAGCTGCCCAGGAATTCTGTGGGAAAGCATCACTTCCTCTCTCCCAGAGCTGGGAAAAAGCAACCCCTGGAGTTTCCTAATGAGCCTGGAGGAGCCGGAATCACCCAAACCAGCCTCTGGAAAACCTTTGGAGCCCTCAGCTCCCCCCTCCACGTGGATTTTCCATGGAAAAGCCGTACCTGGTAGACAAAGCAGATGGTGGGAGCTTGGCATCCATAGAGGAACTTCACGTCGATGACCTGGAGCTCTTCCAGGCGGATGTTGAAGGCCTTTAATTCCTTGTTCTCCCTGTCCAAGGGAATGACCTTGAAGAGGCCGTCGTAGAGCCGGAGCCCTATCATTCGGCACTCGGGATCGATGATCCCAATGATCCCGGTCTCAGAGGGGCGGCCGATGCGATCCTGGGGGATGAATCCATGGAGAAGGGAAGGGAGAAGGGGATTAGTGCCTGGAAAAGATCCCCGAGGGGGCTCCAGGAAAACCAGCCCCCAGAATTCCAGCTGGAAAGCCACTAAGCCTAAGGAGGAGCTGCTTTTCCACTTGGAATTGCTCCCACACCACTTTTTCTCTCCTGGGAATATGGCACTCCAGGATCAGTCCCTAAACCTGATTTTCCAGCCCCAACTTTGCACTGGATGATCCAGAAGAGCCCTAACCCTTTCCTGGTCACTGATTTGACATACGTGACCAAAAATTCCCCTCCCAAAACCCAGCCCTGTTATCAGCTCCAACAGATCCCTTGGAGTTCCTTGGCTGGGAACGACTTTGGCACCCCCACGTGTCCCCCTGGCACAGGAAGACTAAGGACTTTTCCCAGATATTCCCAACAGGACATTCCTACCTCCACCTTCTGCCCATCATTCCCAACGCTACCCTAGCAAACAACAGCCACGAATTCCCAAAAGACTCATTTCCCAAGGAAAACTGGGCCTTACAGTCTGTTTGGGGCACTAATTTTCCTTACATTTGATGTGTCATCCTGTATTTATTATTCCCAAGAACACAGTTTTGTCCAGGTTGGAGCATCCTCGTCTAGGGAAGGTATCCCTTCCCATGGTATAGGGGGTGGAATTGGATGAGCTTCAAAAGCCCACCAGAACTATTCCAGGATTCCATGTGCTGTTTAGATGCGATACTGGGAATAAATCCTTTCCTGTGAGGGTGGTGAGGCCCTGGAATGGATTCCCAGAGAAGCTGCGGCTGTCCCATCCCTGAAAGTGTCCAAGGCCAGGCTGCACAGGGCTTGGAGAGCCTGGGATAGTGGGAGGTGTCCCTGCCCTTGGCAGGGGGTGGAGCTGGATGGGATTTAAGTCTCTGCCATCCCAAACCATTCCACGATTCCATGTACTGTTTAGCTGAAATATTGGGAATAAATCCTTCCCTGCATGGCTTGTGAGGCCCTAGAACAGATTCCCAGTCCACAGAAGGGAATAATGCCACAAATCCTCACAGAGCCCAAGGGCAACCCTGGAGACATCCGAGGCAGCAAGTGACTCATCCCAAATCCAGCGGCACCGATCCAGCGGGGCCGGGAATTCCCATTCCAGGTGCTTCCGCCGTGCTTCCCTCACCTGGACGTTGCCGTGGGCGCGGGTGATGATGTCGATGCTGTCGCCGCTCTGCTTGTACTCCAGGATGCAGGCGTTGTACTTGGCCGTCAGGATAAACAGCAGGTCCTTGCTCTCCCCCTGTGTGGAAAACACGGACACACCGTCCAGAGGAGGCTGTGCCAGGAAAATCCCTCCCACCCCGGTCCTTTGGGTGTTTTCCCAGGACGCACCTTGGGGCGGAAGAGCTCCATGACGGCGGTTTTGCCGTACATTCCCACCTCCTTGACGGGCCGCAGCCCCTCGGCCGTCACCACGTAGATCTCCAGCCGCGTGTTCTTGGCGATCAGCAGGTTCAGGTCCTCGGAGGAGGTGAAGTGTCCTGGGAGAAGCGGGAAGATATCTCACCTCAGGGATCTCCTGCCACCTCAGGGATCTCCTGCTGATCCTCACTTTGCCTCCTCCCAGAATTCCCAATTCCTCCCCCACAGCCCCCCTCAGGAACTGCGTTCCCAGAGCTCGGGCTCCGGGTTTTGTGCCTTCCCTGCAATCTCCCTTTCCTTGCCAGCTTTCCACTGGAATTCTCATTCCTGGGGTTTCTTTAACACCTGCTGCACCACCATCCCATTACAGAGCTCAGATCCCCATGTCCAGCATCCCAAAATCCCTCAGGCCCCAAAACTTCTCCTGTATCTCCCAAACCCCCGCTATACCCCCAAACCCCCTGG